TCATAAACAAACATCCAAATGCCTATTCCTACTAAAATTTATTTGGGTTTATCTACAAGGGGAAGAAATCATATCCATCCATTTACACATTCAGGGAATATTAGCCTAGTCTACTATTTATTCCTGGCATTGTTTTAGATTTAACGCAGGTGTCTCTGATCAAAAACATCTGTTCTCATGAAGCGAACATTGCAATGGGGGTGAAGGGTGGGAGGGGTGGGAGACGGTATCTGTAAACCTCTCTGTTATCCGTTCTGTACAGTGCCCAGGGATCACGAAGCAGTCTTACATTGGGGATGTCATTTCAAAGATAAATATTTATGATGACTTTCTGAAATTTCAAACTTTATACCTAAGAGCATTTCAATGAGCCAAAGTGAAATGGAGCGTATATACTCATTTCAGTGAAATAACGTTCGTGTTAACCACTTTGAAAATTTCCATTTCTCTTGTCAAAGTCCAAATAGAACTTGAATGTATTATGGTGGGAAAGACACATGCTGGGTTATGCTGAGACACTTTACCTGGTATCTGTATTCTGGTGGAAAGCAATGACGAGTCCTAAAAATATGATATAGATATGAACATGAGAGAGCAACACAGAAAGAAAATTTGCAAGGGTGAAAGGAGCAACAGGAAGACTTTATTCATGTTTAATGGTTGACTTTATTTGTGTATTGGGACAATGTTCACATATCCAAGTAAATCACTTTTTTATTTGAAGGGTTTTTTTGCTTTTATTTTTGAATAGTTTCATTGGCATATAATTTACATATCAACTAGATTACTTTAGTTGGGGAGAGCACATGCTAGAGTGACACCACACAGTGGCAGTTCTTGTTTGAGTCAGTTAGCTCAGCTCTACCCCATGCTGTCACTCCAACCAGCCATTACACAACTACAAACCAGTTTAACAGCAGGTATGCATGCTTATTCCCCACTACTGGAAAAAGAAGGGCTCACACTTTCTGCATATAACCTCCTCCCTGGGGGGATGGACAACAGAAAAGTGAGTGAAGGGAGACGTTGGACAGTGTAAGCTATGACAAAAATAATTTATAAATTATCAAGGGTTCGTGAGGGAGGGGGAGCAGGAAAAACGAGGAGCTGATATCAAGGGTTCAAGCAAAAAGAAAACGTTTTGAGAATGATGATGGCAACAAATGTACAAATGTGCTTGACACAATAGATGTAGGTATGGATTGTGATAAGAATTGTACAAGCTCCCAATAAAATGATTTTATTTAAAATGGCTCACACACTATACAAGGGGGTACTCCCCAAACACCAGGCAGAGCAGAACTTTCAGAATATGCATTTTTCCCACTAAGCAAGCATTAAGCAACTCACTCTGAGTTAGTGCACCCAGCGGTTTCCCCTGGGAAGGTCCTCTTTGGTCACAGTGAATTGTATCATAAAAGTCATTTTGCTCAAACCTCATTTTTTGTGATGGTCAATTTAAGAGAACAGCATGCAGCTGTGAGTTTCCCGCATGGGAAAAATGCTGCAGAAAGTATTGAGATGTTGAGCACAGCTTGCAAGGACAGTGCTATGGGAAAAACTCAAGTGCACAAATGGCGTTTCTTGTTTCAAAATAGGAGAAATGTTGACTGATGAAAAACTTCATTTGGATATCCTTCAACTTCCTGAACAGATGAAAATGCCTGCTCATAGTGCATTTGGAGTTTGTCCCACTGGGTTAGACTGTTAATCAAGCTTCTATGTATTTTCTGAAAAGATTATATAACAGTGTTTGACAAAAAAAGGCCTGATGTGTGGCAGATGGGGGACTAGTTTTGCCACCACAACAATGCACTTGCTCATGCAGCCATATCAGTGCACCACTTTTTGGCACACACAAAAAAACAACCCAAAGCACATGCCCCTCTTGCTCATGTACCTTACTCACCTGACCTTGCTCTGTGTGATTTTATTTTGTTTCCTTGAATGAAGAAGGACATGAAAGGACAGCCATTTGATGACATAAAAGAAGTAAAGAAAAAAAATGAAGTAGGTGCTACCTCCATCCAAACAGATGAGTTTGAAAAATGTTTCCAAGAATGAAATTGCAGATTTGACAAATATATTAAGTGCAGTGGAGAGTATTTAGAAGGTGATATGGTGGTTTGTAAATTATATCTATATATCTATATCTATATATCTATATATGTATCTATATATATATTAAATACATAGCTTTGAGGGGGGGAGTCCTTTTTGTGGTGGGGGGTGCCCACGGTAATACTGTTCCCACAGTGTGTTAGTCGGGGTAGACTAGAGATACAAATCCAGGGAGACTCGTGAATAAGAAAGAGATTTATATATAAGAGCAATTGAATATTGAGAAAACATCCCCGCCCAGTCCAGATCAAGTCCATAAGTCCAATATTAGCCCATACATCTGATACCAATCTATAAAGTCCTCTTCAAACTCATGAAACACATGCAATGATGTCAAATGCAGGAAGATCACAGGCTAGTGGGTTGGAAGTCTTCAGGATCCAGTGGCATTGTAAGCAACTCAGCGCTGGCAGGGGTCTCTGTGGCGCTTCTCTGGCTCCAGAGGTCTGGTTGCATCAGAGTAGATCCATTTGGCTTCTCCAGCTCCTGGGGCATAGTGCCATGTATCTTGTCGGTAGAGATCTCTCATGGAGTGAGCAGAGATAGAGAAGTGTCTTCCGCCTCCAAGGAGGAAATCAAGGAGTTCCTAGAATTCTTAGGAAAAGGCCATGCACTCACAGAGGCCTCATTGGGTATGACCTGATTGGCAGACTAGACTCCACCCCTTCACTCTTAATCCTCTCAAGTCCCAAATTGACACCAGATTATGTAACTACCACACACAGTGAATAATACTTCTTGTATGATTGGTGATGCCTGCGAATAATGGGTAGATTGATGATCTGTGTTTTAGTTGGTGAATTAAAACCACAAAAATCTGTCAGATTTTGAGTAAAGAGGGCATATTGAATGGGATTTCTTTGTGAGTTGTAACTGTGGAAGACTAGTTTAAAAAAAAGAAAAGACCAGTTATCAACGAGTTGGTTTTTACTCATAGTGGCTGCAAGGGTCTCTGGTGCTGCTCCCTGGAAAGCATTGGATGCAAGGATAATGGTTCAAACCCATCAGTGGCTCTGCAGGAGAAAGATGAGGCATTAAATTCAAGGCATAGAGGTCAGCTCATACGGTCATAACAAATGTTCATGTCTGTGTGCTCTCCAAACTGGTAATCTTGATAGATTTTCTCAAAGGACACAGGTTTACCATAGGGCTTTTGAGGAAGAAGTTTCCAGAAATGGAAAACTGTATCGCACAAAAAGCAACAAAGGCAATTACTGTTGTATACACACTCCTGAAATAGTAATGAGCTATGAGTGGATACCCAGATAGAGATGCAGACTCAACACCTACAAAAGGGAGAGTGGGTGTATGTATATGTATATATATGAAGATAATTTGTAAATGTGTATCTATCTTTGCTACAAACATCCCCATGAATGTGGTGGGCCATACAGGAGGCAAAATTATGAATACTTCTTAAACATAAACAAACTCTTTCAAGGAATGGCCAATGGGCCGGGGGATTAGGACCACAGTCTTAGAGGACACCAAGTCTATTGGTACAACATAGTTCACGAAGATTATGTTCTACATTCTTCTTCAATGAGTAGCAACTGGGGTTTTGAAAGCAAATGAGCAGCCATTTAAGGTGCAACCATTGGTGTCTCTCGCCCTGAGGAGAGAAGAATCGTGAGCACCAAAAGACATATGGAAATGATTAATCCAATGAATGAATGGACCAAGCAAATATCAGTCTCCACAACTTCAGACTGGAACTGGATGGTGCCTGGCTACCACCACCAACTGCTCTGAAAAGGATTATGCTAGAAGGTCCCGGATAGAGTGGAAGGAAAATGTGGAACAAAATTTAAAATAATAAAAGAGACTACTCTTACTAGTCGGAGAGAGACAGGTAGGACCCCCAAGATTATGATCCTGAGCCACCCTTCAGATCTAGAACTGAATGCCCCCTTGTGATACGATAATCCATGATTTAAGATCAGAAGCACAACATCTACCCAAGGACAGAGTCCAGATGGTTAGGAAAGAAGGAGGAATGGAAACAAAAAACGCAGAGAGAAGGATGCATGTGGGCGATTGCAAAGAATGCGTTGAAAAAAAATGTGTATGAGTAAAATTGATGATCTCTGAAACTTTCACCTAATTTACAATACAAACAAAAAGAATTTAAAAGAATATACAGGCACCTGCATTTGGTAAGAAAAAGGCCAAGAAAGTTGCACCAAGGAATTTTTTTCCCCATTATAACAATGAATCTGCTCATGAGAATTTTGTTGGGAAACCTTACCCTATCCACTTTACAGCCATGGTCTTACTCCTTTAGACGTTTTTGTTTCTAAAAACTAAAACAAACAAACAAACCAAAACAAGGAAACATCAGAAAGGAATATGATTTGAGACCCTCAAAGATGCCAAAGCTGAAGATTTGACATGCTGTAAATCAAAGTGCAAAAAATTCTTTGCAGATAGTTTAGAGAGATGGAAACACCACCTACAAACGTGTTTAAACCTTCATGAAGGATAGGTTGAGATATAAGAGCTTCACATTGTGATAGTTCCATTCCATAAAGGTGGTTATGATTCTGTAATAATACTTTTTGACTTACATGCTCATGCTTCCAACCTCCAAAGACAAAGAAACAACAGCTCTATTAAGATACCGATAATGAAAGGCAATAATAATGAACACTGGGGGGGGGGGGGAAGAGGCAATGAACTCATGTCAGAACAAACTTACAAGGGTTTCACTTGGAAGAAAGGAACTCTATTCCAAATGGAGGACTACACATATCACTTTGTGTATTTTCATTTTAAACTGTTTTTTAGAACTATCTATTTTGTTAGAGTAATCTGATCACACCAGGTTCAAGAACAATCAAATAATAAACCAAATATAATCAGATGTTAAAGACTAGTCTTCAAACATCACAGCCAATGATGACTTGCTTGCCTATGATCTCACCAATATAAAACCACATCCACATATCTGTGGCCACCAAACCATTCAGCAGAGCTTCCTTAACTATGAGCTGTGTCAAAGGACCAGTCTGAGCAGGAATGGCTGTTTTTGTCAGGCTCCGAATAGCTGTAGAGATCTCAGCAGGGGTTAGAGGAACCAGCTCCCCCTTGGCATAGTGCCAAAATGTGGCTACTAGAGGTTTCAAATATGTCACAGGAGTGTTTACCATCGCCAGCGCCTTCTCCAACAAGTTAAGGATAAATTGGGCCAATGTTCTAGGAGACAACACTTGTGGCCCACAAAGTCACCTGAATGTCACCTCTGGGAAGTTCAGTTTGTTTGTTTTTACTTCAAACAATGCAAAACCGCACACCCCACATAATCATCTATTTTTCTAAAGACAGTCTGACCATTTCTTGTTTCAGTGACAATTAGTTTATGTTACTTTCACATCCGGTTTCTTTTTATTGATTTTCAGCTCTTAGAAGAAGGAATCCTGTTTGTTTTAAGCTTAAATGCCTTGCACCAAAATTACAATGGTCAACATAAGTTCCATTAAAGAAAATGTTGTTTCTATGTTCTTCTCCCTAGTATTTAGTCACAGAGCACAGGATAGAGCCTGGCAGGAAGATGGTGTTCAAAAAATAGGTTGAATGTCGCTAGAAAAGGACACCACGCTTTTTAAAGTCGAGAGGCAGCAAAAAAGAGGAAGATCCTTGACGAGATGACTTGACACAGTGGCTGCAGCAATGACAGGACAAGGCAGTGTTTCATTCTGTTGTGCATAAGGCCACTATGGGCGCAAGCTGACTCAACAGCAACTAACAACAAAAGAAACAAAGCTTGCTCCACTGTTACTCTGCCGGTTTATTATCTTGTGATGCCTTGGGTGTGACTGTCATGATGGAAGCTCTGCCCCTGATATTTTAATATCAGCACAGTCTGCCATGGTGAGCAGCCTTCAGTACAGTGTCCAGCCTAAGACAGGTTAGGAAAGAGCATCTGGCAATCTGCTTTGATTAAAAAAAATGGCCAGAATGTATTTATGAAGAGCAGCAGAACATTGTCTGATATAATGTTGAAAGATAAGTCCCTCAAGTTGGAGTATACTCAAACTGAAAGAGAGCTGCCTGTGACTGAGAAAGAGTTGCCTGTCTGCTCAAAGTAGAGTCAACTTTAATGTCATGGGGAGTAAAATTTTCAAGACCTTCATTTGCTGATGTGGCACCACACACAATGGGGGGGGGGTAAAGCAGCTGCAAATATCCATTAATAAACAGAACTTGGAAGGTAACAAGTATTAATATAGTAAAATTTGAAGTAGTAAAAAATGAAATTGAGTGCATCCTAGACATTCAAAAGAACTCAAACCCAAACTCACAGTCATTGCATTGATTTTGAACCCAAATGACATAGTTGGTTATCCGTTGGACTGCTATCACAAAGTCACCAATTGAGCCTACCAGCCCCTCCACAGGGGGAAGATGAGGCTATATACTCGTGTAAAGATTTGCATTCAGAAACTGAAAGGGGCTGTTCTACTCTGTCCTATAGGCTATCTATGATCCTAAGTGAGATGAAATGGACTAGTATTGGCTATTTTTAATCAAAGAAAAGTCTACTATGCTAAGAAAGATAAATTGATGAAGAATGACATATTTACAACAATGTTTCATGATCCATCCTGAAATACAGAGCTTTCAGTGATAAGACAATATTATTTGAATTTATACAACAACCACTAATACCAAAGATGAAGAAATGGAATACTTTGGCCAACTTCTTCATTATGAAGTTGATCAAACATACACTCAAAATGCATTTCTAATAACCGATGATTGGAATGCGAAACATGGTAAAAAGAAGAACCATTAATTAGAAAATACAGACTTGGTGATAGAAATGACACTACAGATTGCAGGATAGAATTTGGCAAGACCAACAAATTATTTGATGAAAACTTCATTTTTCAATAACATAAACTGTGACCATGTAAGTAGATCTTGGAGATGGAATACACAGAAATCAAATCAACTATGAAAGAGATGATGTAGAAGCTCCATATTATCAGTCAGAAAAGTGCCACAGTCTGACTCACATACAATGGTTCATATTAACTTCCAGATGAAACTGAAGAAAATTAAAGCAAGTCCAGCGAGCTAAAGTATGACCTTGAGTATATCGTACTTGAATTTAAAGATCATCTCAAGAATAGATTTGACCTTTTGAACATTAAAGATTAAAGAATAGATGAGTTGGGCATCATATGACAAGAAAGCAAAAGATCATTTAAAAAGAAAGAAAAGACAAAAATGGATGCCAGGAGAGACTTTGAAACTTGCTCTTGAACATAGAACAGATAAAGTAAATGGAAAAAATGATCAAGTGAAAGGGTAGTTCTAGAAGACAAAGTAAGCTATTATAAAAAACTATTCAAAGACCGGGAGCTGAAGAAACTAAGGAAGAAGATATCAGGCATTTCTCAGGAAAGACATGAAGAAAAAAATCAAGCTTCTAGTTGTGTTATTGAAAGATTCAAGAGGCAAATATTTTTTCTTTTATTTTTTGTTAATCATTTTATTGGGAGCTCTTACAGATATTATATCAATCCATAATTCAGTTAGATCAAGCACAAGTTTACAATATCTACCACCATCAGTTTCAAAACATTTTCTTTCTTCTTGAACTCTTTGATCTCAGCACCCCTAATCCCCTCCATTCCCTAATCTACCCCTCAACAATCCGATAGATAGATAGATAGATCTATCCATATCTTACACCATCCAATGTATCCATTCACCTGCAATTCTGTTATTCATTCCTCTCAAGTGGGGTTATACAGTCATCATTGTTATCCGCTCTCCTTCCCCTTATTTCCTGGTCTCTCTTCCCATACCCTCATAGAATCGATAATCCTGTTACTGTTTCTGAAGGCTTATCTATCTTGGCTCTCATGCATCAAATGCTCTTAAGTATACAAATGAACATATTGATGCAAGAAGCATCAAAAACAGACTAACGAATACAGGGAATAACTATAACAAAAGAAATTGGTCAACCTTCAACCATTTCATTAGTTTGATCAATAACTGATGGTATTGAAGGAAGAAATTCAAGGGGCACTGAAGCATTGATGTCAAACAAAAACACACTCACTACCATTCGTATTTAGAGGAATAGGAAACCCTGTCTTTCTCCCACAGAGCAGCTGGTTGCTTCAGACTGCAAACCTTTCTGTTACCAGCCCAATATGTAACCACAAACCACCAGAGCACTAATGTAAAACAAGAATCCAGAAATTGACAGACTATCAATGGAGGTGCTTAAACAAATGACTACAATGCTGAAAGTTCTCATTAATTTATGCCAAAAAATTGGAAGAGATCCTTATTTGTGCCCATTCCAGAGAAGGTGATCCAATGGAATGTGGAAAGTTTAAAGCAATATAATTAATATCTTATGCAATTAAAATTCTGGTGAATATAATAAAAATACAATAGCTGTACATCTACAAGGAACTTCAAAAAATTCAAGTTGACTTCAGAAGAGGAGGTGGAACAAGGAATATCACTGCTGATGTCAGATGGCTGAGAGCACAGAACATCAGAAGGATATTCACCTGTGGTTTATTGACTTTGAAAAGACATTTAACTGTATGTATCACTTAAAAAATATGGATAAGATTCGAAATAATGAGAATTAAAGAACACTTCATTGTGCTCATAATAACCTTGTACACAGAACACGAAATTATCATTCTAACAGAACAAGGGGACACCAAGGGTTTTGAAACCAGGACAAATGTTTGTTATGGTGTTATCCCTTCATCATACATACTTAATCTGTATTTTGAACATATAATCTGAGAAGCCGTTCTCTATAAAGAAGAACCTGGCATTAGGACTAGAGGAAGACTCATTAACAACCTTAGATATGCAGATTACACAGCCTTACTTGTTCAAAGTGAAGAGGACTTGAAGCATTCAAAGACTATAGCCTACAGGATAGAGTGCGTTGTAACATAAAGAAAATGAAAATTCTCACAACTACACCAATAAGTCATATTATGATAAATGGAGAAAATATTGAATTGTTAAGGGTGTGGTTTTACTTCACAATCAACACCCATGGAAGTAGCAGTCAAATCATAGCATATATTGAAATGGGCAAATCTGATGCAAAAGGCCTCTTTAATGTGTTCATAAAATGCAAAGATGTTACTTTGAGGACTAAGGTGTCCCTGACCCCAGGCTCAGTGTTTTCAATCTCCTCATATGCATGCAAAATTTGGACAATAAATAAGAAAGCCCAAAGGGTCAATGCTTGTGAATTATGGTATTGGCAAAGAATATTGAATAAACCATGGCCTTTGCTAAGAAGTAGCAAATCTCCTTTGGAGGAATTACAGTCATATCTTTGGACATATTTTCAGGAGGGGGTAGTCTGGAGAATAACATCATGCTCAGTTAAGTAGATGGTCAGCGAAAAGAAGACCCTCGATGAGATGAATTGACAGTGGCTGCAAAACTGTGCTCAAACAGCACTACAGTTGTGAGGATGTGTCAGGGCCGGGCAATGCTTCCTTACGTTACAACTGACTGGATGGCATCTAACAACAGCAAGAAAGCTTCCTCCTTTAGCAAAAGTTTACAGTTGTAAATCATCGGTTAATCATTCTAATCCCGCAAGCTTCTGAAATATACATCCATTTTCCTCAAAGTCATGTGCTAATTCTTTACGGATTCTAACTCAACGGTGGCTGTAGTAACAGATATCCCAGGGGAGGAAGGTCCAGAAAAAAATTACAGAAGATTTTTAACAGAATGTAGTTTTATTTACTTCAATGTAGAGATGCCAAATAAGCAAACAAAAACTATTTCCAAGTAAACGTTCTTTGATTGAGTTCTGAAAATAGATAATGTTAAGTTGCTACCACTTTTTGTTGTTGTTGCAATTTATCAAAGGACTCACAAGCAGTTTACAAGTAGGTTAAACATGGCCCTAGAAAACCAAACTGGCGAATGTTAAGTGTTCTTAGAAACCATGTATCTCAAGCTCCCACGCACTAGAGGAAGCCCTCCGACAATACCTCTTTACAAGGAGAGAGAGCATGCTATTTCTGTAGGCAACCTACTCCATTGTTGAAAAGTTCTTTTCTATTATTGATTCAAATACTGCCTCTTTGTACTTTTCCTATATTTGGCCCTAGTTCGGCCTCAGAGCCATCTCTTCCATTTACTTGATCCTCCACATAAAGAATGCTTCACCGATTGAC